AAAATGACATAAGCAAGACATGAGGATATGTCATGTACACAAATAATGATGATACAGAGTAGAATGTGATAGGGCAAAGATCCAGGAAAAGAACCCTAGGAAATTCTGAAGTGGGAGAGTCTCCTAGATTTAAAACCTAGGAGTTGTTTTCCTTAGCTCTTTTTTCTGACCCCAGACACCTAATCACATGACAAATCTTGCTGATTCTACCTCATTTCATTTGACCCATTTCCACCAATCATACCAATCAAATGCTTGTTGATTGCTTGATTGGGAGATGAGAGTATCTTATAGGTAGTGGTGAATACTTCTTTCCCATATGGTATTCCCAAAGTTTCAGAATGGATCACACTTGTTGCTCAAATTACAAGGGATATTTCAGAAAGAGGTTATGAAGGAACTTGAGTCTTCCCTGACTTCTTGTGGAAGGAAGATTAGGTAAAGTTACATAGAAAAGGCAACACCTGGCCCAAGACTGGAAAGAAAAGAAGGATTTCATCAGATAATGATGGAGGGAATAAAGCCTAGGCGTAGACCTATTAAATGGGGGGTAGGTATGGAACAGAAGAGGGCAATGACTAATAGTCCAGTTTTGTTGGAATCTATAGTGAAACACAGTAATGTGAAATATGGAAAAGTAGACTGAAGACATACTGCAGAGAGCCTTAAATGCAAAGCTAATGAATTTTTAATTTATCTTCTTCTAGATAATAGTCAAATAAATAATTGACTGAAAGACAAAGAATACAAAATCCAACTATGTTGATTCTTTTTTGACTATTAAAAAGCAGTGGACTAAATGAACAAAATATGGCCTTGAAGGCTTTTCTTTAACAAGGTGTTTCTCATGCACATGTCAATATCATATTCGATTCCTTGAATTTAGTGGCAACAAAAATTGCTTTGATAATCTTCTGATTTCTAATATTAAGCAAGCCATAAAACAGGAAGACGTGCTTGTCAAAGATGTTTGCTACTGCCATGGAATACATTCAGCACAGAATCCAAATGGAAGAGAATTTCCCTATAGTTAGGTTCTTTAAGTGTGTCTGTTTGTGGATGACATTGTGCTGGTTATAAGCCACTGAACATTGCAAAGCCTCCTAAATGAGATTCATTATTACTTGAGTAAGTTCACATTAATTCCCCTTTGAAATTAAAAAATATGCATATATATGTATATAAAAATGAACATTATTCAAAGTTGAAACCTTCAACTTCTGTTAAATATTGCTTGTTTTCAACTACATATTAAATTTAACACAGAAGTAACAAAACCTGCTTATGCCCTTCTGAACTTCCTTCTACTCTTATGTCTTTTTAAAATGTTTCATTAATGTTTTTTCTTCTTCTTATTCTTTTTTATTTAAACATCTGTCTCTATCCACCCACTCTTCCCCAATAGAAACCTTCCCTGGTAACAAATATAGTCAAGCAAAACAAATCAACACTACATTGGTTGTGGCAGGAAAAGTATGCCTCATTTTATACCTACAGTCCGTTATACCTCTGCCAAGAGGTGAGAGACATGTGTTATCATCATTTTTCTGAAGTTATTATGTTATTATGAAGTTATTATGATTGATTGATCCATATGATTGATCCATCAGATTTTATGTTTAGAATTGTTTTCCTTTATATTACTCTGATCATTGTGTATATTGTCTCTGGGTTCCACTCACTTTAATGTGCATCAGTTCATACAAGTTTTCCCCTATTTCTTTGATTCTGTCATATTGGCTATGTCTTATGATACTGTAATTTTCTTTAAAAAGAGGGAAAAAACCCTCAGTGTGTGACGTTCAATTTCCAGACTAGTATATACAATTAGCTCTGACTACAGAGCTTGTCAATTCATACATTTTTCTTAGGAAGACACTGAGTCCAGAATAGAAAATAAGGAGGCCCATGAATGGCTTTTGATAAATTGCTCAGTTCTTTTAAAGACCTTAAACTTCCCCCTGAAACAAAGGCCTATATCTTTACATTAATGTTTTTTTTTTAGGGATGTTGTATGGCTGCAAATCAAGAGAATACTGCATAGCCTTTGAAGAACTGAAGTTGAGGATCACTTAGAGGTCCATAGGAAGGTATGTGGTGGGTGTGAGTAAGCTTACAGCACATTGCCAATGAAAAATAAAGCAGATTATCTAAAGGTTATCATCAAAGAAATGTAGGACTGGAAGAAAAAAGTGAGGCCTATCATTTAGGAAAGGAAAAGATAACAGAAAAACATACAAAATGATCCATTTGTATGCCTCCAATGTCAAGAGATGGAGAAGTCTCCAGCATTTTGGGTAGCAGATTCATGGAAGGGTATTGGCAGGATTGTATAAACATGGAAAGATTGGCATTATTGGAGTCGTCACATTGATGAGATTATAGATTCACTGGAGTATTGAAGAAGCAATAGGGGCACCGTATGTATAATGTATTTCCTCTATAAAACAACCAAATTTGAATAATTATTTTTAATTGTGTTGGTTATAATGTCCACATATTTGAATAATCTGGGAAATGGAGGGGTAAAGGGCCAATTATTATTACTTTACTGTATTCATTCTTCCCACCCCCCACCCCTCCACCCCCAACTTCAAACTGCTGATGCAGGGACAGTTGGCAATGCTGTTGTATTCTGTTTGCCATAGGGAAGACTTAATTATAATGAAAGAAGAAGTTCCACAAATTCAGTCGTATATAGAGAGGAAGTGGTTTTCACTTCAGAGAGCAATGTGAAGCTTAGTAATTTCTGTAAAAAGAATGGTAATTGTGAGAGAATATGTACAGTACATGTAATTAATGAGAATGCTTTGAAATTCATAGAATAATTTTTCAAAGAACCTCAAAAGCTTTAGTAATATTCATGTGAACCTCATATCTTAGTGTGAAACACAAGTTAACAATTCCCATTTTTACAAATAAGGCAACTGAGAAACTTAGGTGAAAGGCCTTTTCCAAAGATACACTAATATCAGGAACAAAAAATACATGCGTTCGATAATTCATGTCTTCATTCTGTCTCTGTCTCTTCTGCTTGGTTCTTGGTAATGCTACATTTTTTTAGCATCCTGGACTGATGGTCACACAACATGCAGTATGGCTGGAAAGCAGGTCCAACGTTAGAAAGATGACCTTTTGATTCTGGTGATTAGATTCTGAATATGCCCAGTGTGGCATTAATGTAGCTAATATTAAAGTAATGCCACATTTATCTTTCTGCCATTTTTGTGGAGCAGCACTGAAGAAAAACTTACTTGAAGGAAAACATTATGTCCTGAAGTTTTCTCATTTGTAAAATGAGGAGGGCTGATCTAGATGGTCTTTAAGATATCTTTCTGACTCCTATAATTTGGTTCTCTGTTCTGTCATGTGGCAATGCAGGTTAATGAGAAGACCATTGCCATCCTTTCAAGGGAAAGTCTGTGAGAAGTTGGTATTCCAACTCCTCCCACCTCCTTGAATTCCTCTCCATGGACAGTCAACAGTGTTGATCCTCTGGTAGTGCAACCTAAGATAAGAGGCTTTGGTCCTCAAATGTTCATATTTTATAAGTGAAGGCAAGTGTATGAAAGTCTAGTCAAGCCAAGAAACCTTTATCAAGTACCTATTATGTGCTGGACACTCTACTAAATAAACACTGGACAGACAAAGAGAGGCAAAAACCAGTTCCTTTCTTCAAAGAACTCAACATGTAATGGGGGAGACAACATGAAAACTATGCACAAACAATATATATATAAGATAAATTGGAAGTAATCTCAGAGGTAAGGCAGTAATATTATGGAGAAACTTTGGTTTCTCCCAAAAGGAGGGTTTTTAGCTAATACTTGAAGCCAAGAGGCAGACACAAAGAATGTGAAGATACACATACATACATATATATATATATGCATATACATATACACATCTATCTATGTATCTATGTATCTATCTAGGACTATCTTTTGCCCCTTTTTGTATCCACGGATCTTAGCACAGTACCTGACACTAAATAAACGTTTACTGAATTGAATATCACTGGAGGTACATACTGATGTTATGAATCAGAATTTTATTTACTTTTTTGCGCTAATAATGGACGCCCCAGAAATAGGAGGCTATACAGAAAGCAAGAGAACTGAGAACTTGAACTAGCAGGTTACATTCAATTGGGGGGAAATATCCCCAAGTGTCCTGGTGCTGACGAGACTCTACAGTACTTATGCACCTATTCCCTGAAGCGGGCAGGTGCGTGGTTCTGGACTGCAGAGTTCTTGGCAGCCGGGCCACAGCGGGTTTGTGATGGACAAGGTCGGTTTGGTGCTGGCTTCAAACTCAACTCTGGAAGTGCCCGATCAGTCACCTTCCCCAGCCAGTAACCCTTCATCTCCCTGGGAGTGTGAGAAATAGTGCAGGTCCAGTATGCGATAGTCCCAACAGGAGCAGCTTGATCCACAGGGGTCTTGACACGTGTGTGTGTGTGTGTAGGGCCAGGCACCTGGCGGGACCTCGAGCTGAGTCACGAAGGGGCGCGTGCCCAGGTTCTCCGGGCTGAGCAGGCTCTCCTCCCCCTCCCCCCCACCCCGGGGCGCTCTCTCCCCTCCCGGGCCTCGCCCAGGGCTGCCGCCTGAGGGCCCGAGGACCAGGTGTAGCCACCGGGAGAGGCGTCCGTGGCTCGCTCCCCACCCCCCAGCTTCTCGGCACTTCCTGGTTTGCAGAAGGTGCCGGCGCCGCAGCGGCCGTCCTCTCTCACAGGAACTGAGGGGCCGGAGCTTTGGGCAGCAGCTGAAGCCGGCGGGGGCGGCGCCGCTGTCAGAGAGAAGCGCAGTGACCAGGGCCGGGCTGAGCCGGGCTGGGCTGAGGGACCCGCTACGGGGGACGCCGCCGCCGCCGCGGGCAATGGCTCCGCAGTCTCCCGCGCTGTGAGCGGGTCTCCGCGCAGCCGCCAGCGCCTCCGGCCGAGACCACTAGCCCCGGCCCTGACCGAGCTGCACCTCCTGGTGGGGCCGACCCCGGGGCCGGCTGCGTGGGTCTAGGCGAGCAGCGGAGCGGGCCGAGCTCGGACTCGACATGTAATCATGGACTGCAGGACCAAGTGAGTGAGGGGCGGGGGTCCAGCTTCCTCTTGGGACCCTTGGGTCCCGCTTCCTCCTCGCCCCGCCCGTCCTAGCCCCGGGGATGGGGGTGGGCTAGGACGGAAAAGCCACCTCGGTGGGCTCTGAGGGAGGGGACGACTCACGGGGAGAACTCCCGGGGCGGCCGCTTCAGTCCCTCCGCCCGCCCCCTGGGGAGGGAACTAGGCCTCAAAGCCTTCCTTCCCCAGGACTCCGCGTCTCCGGCGCTGGGCGGCGGGACCGAGCTGCCGGAGCAACCCGAGGGCACCCCATGCCGCGGCGGCTGCAGCTGCGGCTGCCCGGGTCCGGGACGTTCAGGTCCTTCCAGGGGGAAGGAAGCGGGGAGTGCCTCCGGGATGGATACACCCAGGCTTGGAAACCTCATCCCCCGGGGTGTGAGTGTGCCTGTGTCTGTGGGGGGGGGGGGGGGGGGGAGGCTCGGCTCTTCTCCTCTTGACATCCTTCCCCAACCTCCCCCGCCCCGCTGGGGTTTCTTTTTCTTTATCTAGTGTGTCAGACTTAATGTGTGTGTGGTGTGTGGTCTCAAAGGTGTCACTTCATAGTTTATTGTTCTGAAGGCTTTCCAGTCCTCGAGATAGAACCACTAAGGGTTAGTGCCTAGGATGTCTTGGGTGGGTGGGGGTGTTGTGTATTTCTTGATATAGAAGCTCTGTCCACAAGGTATTCCCAAACTTAACTAGCAAAATTAGGATGTTAAAGTACCAGAGGGTACTACTTTTTTCATAATGCTATGTGGCTTGTGATCTAGTATTGTTTACTTTGGCACATAAGGATTACCGAATGGACATGATAGGTATGTTTCTGGAAATTATAATGTAAATAAGACAATATTATTACTTAAAATTCGTCCAGTGTTTTAAAGTTTGCAAAGTGCTGTATATGTTATCTTCACAGTGCTATTGCTAGTGGTATAATTGTTTAATTGGGCACATAAGGATAACCGAGCACGATAGGTTTATTTCTGGGAATTATAACGTTATGTAAATAAGACAAAAATAGCTAGCATTTATATAGCGCTTTAAGGTTTATAAAGCGCCCTATATGCTGTCGTCGCACTGTTATGGTTAGGGATACAATATTGTTTAATTTGGCAATAAGGATAACTCGGCATGACAGGTTTATTTCTGGGAATTATAACTTTATGTAAATAAGACAGAGTAATAGCAAGCATTTACCTAGTGCTTAAGGTTTTCAGGAAACTATACATGTTACCTCATTTGATCCTAAAAAAGCTTCTGAATTTTCTTAGTAAAGTTGTTCAGGACCAGATGACATAACATGTAAAGTGTTTTGCAAGCCTCACAATAATACTAAATGCCAGCTAATATTTTGTCAACTAATTTTGGGAAGAGTTACTTCTTTCTTCCTTTCTCTTCGACCCTTTCAAAATAACATACTTATATTTGGGTGAAATTGCCTCCTTCTCACTTTAAATGTTGATATATTTAAGCGAAATTTAATTTTAAAATTTGGGAGATACTGAGCAATACTCAGTGAATGTGAACAGTAGAATTGTATGTAAGTTTTCTATGGCCAGTATTTATGCTTAAGTAATGATTGGCTCTTTACTAGAAGGCTTTGAATGTGAACAGGTATATAGTAGTAATTTAGAATTATATAACTTGTAAGAAGTTTTCTTTGGTCCTGCATTTATGCTTAAGTGATGACTGGCTTTCCACTAGAAAGCTTTGCAAAGGTTGAAGGAAGTGATCTTGACACTCATCACCTTTCTCCTACCTCTAGACTCTCCATTACTAATGCTGTGGGAGTGTAGAATCCTTCAGAATTGTCCCCTTGACATAAATTGGGAGTGAATGAGCAGGGAAAGAATGCTTAATCCAAAGATATGCGATTTGTCACTTTCTGTGTGTTCTATGACAATAGAGATTTTGTAATTCACAAACTTTTTTTTTGTTGCTAATTTCAATGTAGGATTAACTTCTTAAAGGAAGTATGAACAATTTTAAAACAAAGTACCAAGATACTAACAGTCCTGAAATCCATGTGAACAGAACTGTTTTAATCTTTTCTGTTCTATCAAAAAAGGAGACCACTATGGGGTCTCTAAAGAAGATCTCAGTGTGTTTTTTACAAATTTCATTCTTAGATGAATCCAGTACTTAGGTAGATGGCCAGACAAACAAAAACAACAATTTTTTTCCTAAAGGATAATTAATATAAAAATTGAATATTTTGTCATAGCCCTAAAGCTTCTTATCAGAGATAATCTAATAATAAATATGCAAAACTTCAAACATGTAATCAAATTTATGAATATGCTATTAACATTTTTATAATGGTCTAACTTTTGGTGTAAAGCTTTGTGACTTAGTGAAACAGCTTCTGTAGATCATATTTGGCCTTTAAATTTTTTTCTTACCTTAGATTGTCAAGTCTTTGAAGGATTAGTGAGGCTCTGTTGTAGATTTCCTTTTTATAAGATATAGTAAAGCATTTTTAAGAAGTCAAAGAGAATGAAAATTTGTAACTAAAATATGTAATTTTATGGAGTAAACTGAAAAGAGGAAAAACATTATTTTACTATTAAGAAACTTAAGTTTGAAAAATTGTCTTTCTGCATAAATTTAACTGAGTTCTTTTCCTTATAGAGAAAATCCAGAAAGGACATTCGACTTGGTATTGAAGGTGAAATGTCATGCTATTGAGAATGAAGGTACTTGTCTTTTCTTAAGAGATTTATTTTCTGTTACTACACATATTAATGTTGAGTTTGAAACATGATAATACCAACAATAAGACTGGCAAATATGTGCTCTGAAGCTGTCTCAGATTACCATTAGCACAATACTGGGAAATATGCAAATCATATCTGTATAGCTTGAATTTCTTTTAGTTTATTTAGTAATTTCAATCGGTTTACTTTTATCTTCTTCTCTTCTATCCCTGCAAAGTTGTTTTTTTTGTTTTTTGTTTTTTTTTTGGTCAAATCTCCCATGACCTTTGCAGAAAATCTTTCCAGATTTTCCGTGATATCTTGCCAATACCAATGGAAATTCCACCAGTTTTACTCTAATGCTTCTTTCCAAGTTGTGTAGTGTACAAAGCTGCTCTTAGTGTCAGGAAGATTTGGATCCAGGTTCCACCTCTGACATATTGGCTGTGTGACCCTGGGCAAGTCACTTGACCTCTCAGTGCCTTAGGCAATTCTCTAAAACTATAAGTTTCTGAGAAGGTGCTGTTCTGCATTTTTAGAGGATGTTCCTCAATGGGAGCTTCTTATATGGATCTGGTTTAAAAAAAAAAAAAGAAATAAACATACTAGACTTTTTAATTCATTTTGCTCCTGCTCCTCAGCAGTTTTTGAGTTGGATGAATTGGAGGATTATCATTAATCAATTTTCTACTGCCAGTCATGAAAATAATTGAGGAGAGAGGCATTGTAGCATGGTTTGATGAATGCTGGATTTGGAATCTGGAGAGACTTAGATTCACATCGTGTCTGTGGCATTTACTAATTGTATGGTCACTGACTGGTCATTTAACTTTCCTTAGCCTTATTTTATTAATCTGCAATTTGGGCATAATACCTATAGTTCTTCTCTCTCAGGGTTGTTGATAGGCTCCAATGAAATAATGCATGAAAAAGTGCTTTGTAAATTTTCTTTATGTGTCTGCTGTTATTTGTGAGTCTCATCAATTATTCTGAGGTCTTTGGTTTAATAGGGGAAAAGAAGCAATTTCTTTTGCTTATGCCCCTTTAAGTTAGCATGATTTTTATGCAGTTGTCAGATTTGTTAGTCATATGTAAGGTTATCAATTCCTAGAGAGGTCTTTGTTAGCATTTTGGTTGGGTATAGAATTCTGTAGCATTCAGGTAGACACTTTGTGAAAAGTCTAGGACCATTCCTTTTAGCTTTAGATACCAAACTCAGCAGCAAATGAGATGTAGAGGAGCATGTTGGTGGCATCATGCTCCTGAATTGCTGGAACCACTTAGATTAAAGAGGAGAAACTGGTTGGCTCATAGGAGAACTAGGCTTGCTTTTATATCTTAAAATCTTAGCACAGCTACCTGTTCCATGACATCTCTGACTTAAGCCATTGAAGTGGAAGGACTCGTCTATTAGCAAGTTGTGTTTCAAAATATTATGTAGCTTTATCCAATCTTTAAAGTTCCTTTATGACATTTGTTCATTTTCACTCTTCTCATGACCACCTAAGTTCTTCCTCCAAATTCAACTGTACATACCATTCCCTACTTCCTCTCCCTCCCCACCCCAGTTTGAAATACTAAATTCTTGTCTTTAGACTTTTGGTCCAAAGTTTCTAGGACATTTTACAGATGATTGGTTCTGGTGAATGAAGTGGTGCTCATAAGTAAGGTTTGTAAAGTATCCTTTGGGGGAATATATAATGCAAAAAACTTTTAAAATGTAGGCTATAGTTATTTGTTGTAAAATAATGTTTAAGCTATATATCACAGTCCTTTTTTTGTCAGTCTGTCAACAAGCATTTATTAAGCCCTTACTATGTTCCAGGCACTTGGATAGAAAGAAAAACCAAACAGGGTCCCTACTCTCAAGGAGGTCACATTTTAATGGAGGAGACAATATATGATAACTATGTATATGTAAGATACATAAAGGGTAAATTGAAGGTAATTTTAGAGGAAAGGAACTATGGGGGAATGGGGGACTGGGAAAGACCTCTTGTTCAATGTGAGAATTGAGCTGAATTTTGAAGAAACTAGGGAAACTGGGAGTTAGATGTGTGGAGGAAGAGCATTCCAGTCATGGGGGATAGATGAAGTTAGGAGGAGTGTCCGATGAGAGGACTTTATATTTGTTTCTGGAGATAATAGGGAACCTTTGGAGTTTATTGAGTAATGGGGTGACATAGTCAAATCTGAGCTTTAGGAAAGTGATTTTTTCAGCTGAGTGGAGGATGGAATGGGGAGCACAGAGGCTTGAGTAAGAGAAATTAATTAGGTTACTGCAGTAGTGTAAGTAGGAGGTGATAAAAACCTACATCAGGGTGGTGGCTTTTTGAGTGGACATAAGGGATGTGTATGAAAGATGTTGTGAAGGTAAAATGACAAGACTTAGCAGCAAAATGGATATGTAGCATGAGTGTAAGTGAATAGAGGATGGCACTGAGGTTGCAAGCTTGGGTGACTGAGAGAATGTAGGTCTCATTGTTAGTAATAGGAAAGTTGGGAAGAGAGGGGGAGGATTTTTTTGGGGGGGAAGATAAATGTTTTGTTTTATACATGTTGAATTTGAGATCCCTTTGGGATATCCAATTTGAGATGTCTAAAAGGAAGTTGATAAAAAGAGGCTGGAATTTAACTTAGGAAAAAGATTTAGTCCAGCTTGATGAATCTGGGAATCATCTGTATAGATATGATAATTCAACCCATGGCATTTAATGTCACATTAAGTGAGATAGCGTATGGAGAGAAAAGATGGACCCAGATCAGAGTCTTGAGACATACCTGCTGTGTGACCCAGAAAAAAACAAAAAAACAAACAGACCTGAGAAGTAATCCTCAGATATTTAGGAGAAGAATAAGGAAAGAAAAGAGGTGTTATGAAAGCCTAGAGAGGAGAGGGTATCCAGTTGAAGAGGGTTATGGACAGTTTCAAAGGCCAGAAATGTTTAGGTCAGGAAGGATCAGGATTGAAGAAAGGCCCTTAGACTTGCCGATTAAAAGATTATCGTTACTTTTGAAGAAAGCAGTTTCAGTTGAATGATGAGGTTAAAAGTCGTATTGCAGAGGGTTTAGAAGCCAGTAAGAAGACACAGGTGGAAGTACCTAGTGTAGATGGCTTTTTCCAGTTCAACTGAGAAATGGAGAGGAGAGAGCTAGGACAATATCTAGAAGAGATGGTTGAATCAAGTGAGGATTTTTTTTTTAAGGTGGGGGAGATATGTGTATTTGTAGACAACAGGGAAGGAGCCTGTAGATAAGGAGAGATTGGAGGTAAGAGAGAAAGTAGGAATAACATGGGGGCCTTCTGTTGCAGAATTTGGGAGGGGACTAGTCAGGATTCCTAGATTGAGGAATCATCAGTACGTATGTTCAAGTCCCTTTGAATGAGGGTAGAAGTTGTGGTGGAAAGAAATACTGTGTGCCAGGTGTTTAACTCATTAAGGAAGAAAGGAGAATGTCATCAGGATCAATGGATAATGACTGCCAGGATTTTGAGTAAATGATAAATTTGGATTGAATGAATTTCAGGGAAGGAGTGGTTGCTCAGTGGTCATGGTAAGAGGAAGAATCTGAAAATGATAATGGGGATCAAGTCTCCCATCATAACCAGTGAGTCAAGGGTCTGAGTGAACATGCAGCCAGTAATTTTTGTGTGATTTTATTTTTCCACTGAGATTTTAGAGCATTTTTAAACCCCTTACTATTTATAATTTATTCCATATTCCATAGTTTAGGGAAGAAAGTCTAGCTGATTATTGATTGTTCAGTGTGTCTTTTTAGCTGCTTTTCTTCGTACCCTTTTAATATTTTCACTAAGTCTTATTAGCAATCCATCTATTGTCCATTTCAGTTGATAATACTGGAGGTGAAACTAATGGTTAATATGTAAATTTGGGATTACCTGCTGATTTCCATGATTTATTCTATCTCTGTTCCATTAATATGGGTGGATCAATTTTCATAGTTAAAAAAAAGCTACTTAATTTAATTCCAGTAATGGTAGCCCTATCTCTTTCTGTTAAGATAATTTTTTTACTTAAAATCAAAGATATACATTTCAGAAAATTATTTTTTGCAAATAATATTATCAATTAAGTGGGCTAAAAAAGCAAGTTATTGTTATTTCAAGTTGAGAAATTTATTTTTCATAATATTTTCATATTTCATTTGTATAACAAGTAATAAAGTCCTTCAAAGACAGAAAGCTATTTGAATAGTTATTTCTCTATAAACATCTGGTTTCTTCTGTATTTGTTTTGACAGGACTTACATAATTTGTTTACAATCGAACACATTTGATATATTACTATTTAAATTGGTATTAGTGAAATTCTTGAGGTGGTAATAGCAAACCATAATCCAAGGTCAGAGATTGTTACAGTTATCCCTTCCACATTGTGGGGTTTAGGGATGTGGTGCCCTTGTGATCTAGAAAATCCATGAAAAATTTTTGGCTCTCCCTTTGTACCAGAGAAGTCTGAATTATTATCATATATGTTGATATTGTACAATACTGTACATATTTTTATGCATTTCTGAGTTTCTAAACTTTTTCTGTGTTATCTGCTGGGCTTCATGTGTCATCTGCAGCTTCTGCAAAATTCAGATTTAATTTCTTGTACTGACCCATGATTTAGCAAAACCATGTTGGGGGAAATCAAGATGTGAAAAGGATAACTGTATTTTCTTTTTGATTGAGTTAGTAGTTGATAACCCCTTTGATGAGATATTAAGTGTGAAATCCATTATTCTTGGTGGATCTAATTTCTTCATGGAGTTAATAAAATTGCTATTTTTATATGAGTTGGTGTAACACTTCTAACATTTTATTGTGTACTTCGCAACATTTTTCTTTATTCAACAAGGATTTATTAAGCACCTATTATGAACTGGGCACTCTTCTAGGTACTTGAGAAGCAAAGACAAAAATTAAACAGTTCCTGCCAAAATTTTAATCTGTTTGGTGTCATGTACACAGATAAAATATTAAATAAATACAG